GAAAGCATGGAGGCTGGATGGTGAGGTTAGAAGGGCAAAGAAACAATGATAGCAGTAGAGACCCTAGAACCTCAGAAGGTAAACTTCTCCCCCAGTTAGGGTCTCTCAGCCCAGCTGTGGGTTGACTCACTAGCCAACTGGCTGCTTCACATTCAAATCCAGCCTATCTATCTTCACAGGTGGATTACGACCGAGCACAGATGGTCCTCAGCCCTCCACTGTCCGGGTCTGACACCTACCCCAGGGGCCCTGCCAAACTACCTCAAAGTCAAAGCAAAGAAGGCTACTCCCCAAGCAGCCACCAGTACCCGTCTGGGTACCACAAAGCCACTCTGTACCACCACCCGTCTCTGCACACCAGTTCCCAGTACATCTCCACAGCTTCTTACCTGAGCTCCCTTAGTATCTCGTCCAGCACCTACCCCCCACCCAGCTGGAGCTCCTCCTCAGACCAGCAGCCCTCCAGGGTGTCCCACGAACAGTTTCGGGCTGCCTTGCAGCTGGTGGTCAGCCCAGGAGACCCCAGGGAATACTTGGACAACTTTATCAAAATCGGGGAAGGATCAACCGGTATTGTGTGCATTGCCACGGAGAAACACACAGGGAAGCAAGTGGCCGTGAAGAAAATGGACCTCCGAAAGCAACAAAGACGAGAGCTGCTTTTTAATGAGGTAGATGGTGTTTGGATCACCCTTTATTAAACGGTCAACCCCTTGCTGTATATTTGTTACACATGTTTTTCTGTTTTTCATTTGCCTTTTAAATTTGCTTATCACTTGAGAGCTCTAAAGTGCACATGGATGGGGAAAACGTGAGCGCTTGTGTTGAGGAAATGCAAAGCATTATGGAGTAATATCCATTTCATAATTTTATGAGAGTCTTGGAAAGAGATGATCTTTTGTGGATGGGAAAGCTGAAAATCCTAAGGATATCAAGTCAGGATTCCAATGTGAGATGATGTGTTGGTCTTTAGCCAAAGACATACAAGCCACGTGTCCTAAGTCCCAGAGCAATCCATGGCTGCTTGACCACTTTCATTTTCTGCCATGAAGGTTCTCTCAGAAGTGTGCAAAGGTTGTTTGATTAGTAAATAGATGCCATAAAAATGCAATCAGTTATGATTGTGTATCCGTCTTCTTTGGAGGCTGATCTGAAGCCACCACTAGAACATGGATAAACAACTCTATAGTATATTATTTAACACTAACTCCAAAAAAGTCAACAGAAACAGCTACTGGGCAGCAATTCACTCTAGCAAGCGGACTCAATTAGTCTTTTTATACCTTGTTGTTGTTGTTAGCTGGCATGGAGTCAACTCTGACTCAGCGGCAACCTTACATACAACAGAAACAAAACGTTGTCTGATCCTGTGTCATCCTCACAATCACTGGCATGTTTGAGTCCATTGTGGCTATTGTGCCAGTCTCTCTCATGAGGGTCTTCCATGCCCTC